ACTGGGCATAGTTCTAAGTATTTTTTCAGCCAGTATCTTATTTAATGTCCACAACTCTGTTTGGTTGGTGGTGTCATTTTCTATATTTCTGGTGAGGAAACTGAGGCTCAAAAAGAGAAAGCATGTAATGTGACCAAGTTCACCCAGTTTTTAATCAGTAATGTAGGTACCAAACCCAGGGCTATCCACACTGATTCAGAAAATGTAAGCAGAAAAGAAGCCCCACGACCTAATTAGATTGATCAGTGAAGGAAAACCTCCTTCCTCATTATCATTACCATCTCCTCCATGTAGTTGTAACATATAATAGTTATTAAGCATCTGTTCTCTGTGTAAGTTCTGGTCCTCTCCATCTGTATGAAACTGAGCTAATTATCTCTCCGCCTTTGAAGAGATGGCCTGTAGAGTTGGAGAACTAGCACCCTGAGGCTCACTGTACCCATCTCTGAAAATAAGCACATACTCCAAATCTCAAGGGTTGAATCCTCCAAAACGCCCACCAGTTATGAATGCTATGGCAAATATTGCTCAAACGATATACTTTGGGGATGGTTTTAGCAGAGTTTTCCAAAGGGAGGGCCTTGAACAGAGGTCTTTTAGAGCTTTTCCCATCTTTATAAGTCTTCTATTAAAAGATCCCCTTCAGAGAGTCCCCACACGTGAGAGAAGAAAGAAGCCCTGAGACCATTAATTGTACAATCTGGTTTTACAGGTGAGGAAACTTGGGCCCAAGGAAAGCAAGAAATATACCCAGCTCCTCCAGAACTGAGCTGGGGCTAGACTCCAGTGTATTCTCTTCTACCACAAATATCTCTTTGTTTCATCCTCACAGTGCCTTCAGGAGGCACCTAAGCATTTGCACTTGGCATTGCCAAACTAGTTGCAGATGAGGAGCCCCTGAGCTTTGGTGAAATCTCCCTGTCACTGGTTAGCTATGTGATCTTGGGCAATGTTTTCATCTCTTTGAACCATAGTTTTCTCCTCTGTAAAATTAACTTGTTCAACATGATTTCTAGAATCATTTTGCTCCCCAAACATATGACTCTATGATTTTAATCTATTTGTGAATTAACTGCTGCTTTTCACAAAGCACACAGGCCTTCTTATTCCTCATTAAGATTCTCTGGATTGCTAATGAAAAATGATGTTGGAACCAGAATCCCAAAGACGAACAAACTCTAGGTAAAGAACAAAACAGACATTTTCAGACAGGCAAGAACTCAGAGAATTTATTCTGCTAGTGTCTACTTTTAAGAAGTAATTTGTGACTATACTCCAGCTAATCAAGAAACTAAGAAATATGTGAGAGTCAAGAAGTGATAAGACAAATACGGAAGTCCAAAGAAGAAAATCTTAAGGTGATAATTGTATAGCATGCCTAGGAAACAATTCATCAAAATTAAAACAGAAAGCCCACGGACTCTGAGCAGAATGCCTTCAGGAGAAGTAACAGAATGGATTCCAAGAGTGATTAGGGAGCTAGATGATACTAGCGACATATTGAGAAAAACTATGTGTGTGTATGTGCATGTGTGTTTTATCTTTCAACAAGAACAAAGAAAAATAACCAACACCATGAGAAAGAAGTTCATAAACACTATATCAAAGATTCCACATATGAAGAAGAGCAATCCAAAAAAATGTAAAAAAAAAATAGAAGTTATTTGAGCCAGATGACAGGAACATTGTCTTTCATTGGGATTGGGGTCATAGCTTTGAAAGGTTCAGAAAAAAAATGTAATTGTAGCATAGTATTTGCCTCTGCAGTACACATTAACATGCCACGCTAATGAAACTCCATGTTCTCGGCTTTCGAGTCTCAGAATTAAAAAAATTGACAACACATAGAACTTTTAACATTGCTACAAAATAGAATGTAAAAGTTTACCTCTGTGACAGGGCATACAGTTAAGTTGAGAAGTGGAAGAATGGAGAAAAGATAGGGATGTGCTAAGATCCACACAAAAACATCCTAGTGATTGCCTCCATGACCAGAGATGGGGAGGAGGTGGGAGCGGAGTGGGAAAACATAGGAGGCTGTAAAGCTTCATTAATAAATAAAAGCTGTGGGTAGAGTAGACGGTATGGGTGCAGTGTGGTTAGTGGCAACAGGCATTCTTCCCAGCCTTGTGAGGGCTGATGATTGGTCTTTCTCATCATTTCGGATGATTCTTTCTCCAGTCTCAGTTTCCTCATGTGCAAACACTAATAAGGATTTTATTGAATACTTAAGGGGGCATCTCTGCAGAGCTGTGTGGGGGGTCATTTCTCTGTGCAGCTGTTTCCTCTCTGATACTCTGCTCCATAAGCTCTGGTTGCCTTCGTCTCCCAAACTCTCAGCTGTCTCCACAACTCTGGAAATCTGCCAGAGTGTACCTCAATTTCCCCTCCCTGAGTCACTGCCTGAAAACTCTCTGAAGTCTATAAAATGGAGCAATCATAGAGCTTATCTTGGTTGATTTCCATCTCTCAAGGATTACTGTCTTTTTTTGCCTGAGGTCCAATGTCTTGACAATCATTGTTTTTTATATAAATGTTTTTTATTCAGGTGAGAGAGTAAATCTTGCCTCTGTTAGTCCATCTTGAAAGCAGAAGTCTTTTTTCAAAAAAATTTCCGCCTTCTCAGGGATCCCTTTTAGTTTCTGCCTTTCCTAAACAACCAGCTCTGCTAACCTCCTAATTTTGAAAATCTAATTTAACCACTGTTAAGGACAGTATTCATACCAACTACAACTAGCAGCCAGTAACAGAAGAAAAGAAACTAATTATATTTCTTAATTTTTATTCTGTACATTTCCACACAATTCACAATACAGAAAAAGTGTCCAAAAAGTTACTGTAACTAGTCAATTTCTTTTTCAGAGATTAGTTCAATCTCCCAAATTAATTCTATTGAAAATCTCTGTAGAGCAACACAGTGATCAAGATACTTTATATAAATAGGAAATGCAAGAAAATTAGGGAAAAATACTTTATGACTTTGTTACAAAAAACTCCATTCTTCCCTTCCCCCCCTTCCCACCCCCCTCCCTCCATTTCATATTATCTGGATCCCACTTTACCTGGAAATAAAACGTCATCATCCTACTGCCACAGCTGCTACATTTTTTGGTGTTTTTTGGATTCCACCTGCCAGCTGGCTGCTTTGCAAAAGCATGGCTCTGGGATGTGATAGGGCAGAATCAGAAATCATGAAAGAGCCCTTTATAATGTGACTGCAACTCTCCGAGCAGATGTGGCCTTTGAGAGTGCGCTACCCACAGCCAAGGGTACTCTGGGTGCCCAGGAGCCTTTTCCCACTCAGAAATCAGATTAAACGGAACATATTCATTCTTACGGAACTGAGACTGTCCTCTACTCCTTACTTCTTTACAGGAATGGTTTTCCTCACTTTCAATCAGCTATGGTCCATATAATATTCAGATTCACAGTTGCCCATTTAACCATTGGTAATTTAAAAAAAAAACAAAAACAGCCTAGCTAACCTTTACTGAGACTAATTTGAACCCTAACTTTCTAAAGATGTGTTTTGCAAAATATTCTATTGTGCTAGAATATTTTGTCTATTAAGGTTCCAAATCTCATTCCCCAGGATGGCAAGAACCCACACTTCCCAGCCCTCAATCCCGATGTTAGCAAGCATCAATCTAGTTCTAGTTGCACTGGAAATTGTTCACGTGGTCTGAGCCTCAGTCCAACCAATGGGGTCATGGGGGGCAGCAAGCAAAAAAATTTATTGTTAATAAAACCCAAAAGTTCAGGAAACATTTGGATTCATTGTACAAGCTGCAGTAAATATCAAAGCTAGAAGGTATTTTAAAAGTGATAAATCTCACCAACATATTTGAGAGAATTACCTATAAATTTAAAACAAAAAATAGTGTAAACCAACTTAGGGCTGTCCTTGTTTATTTTTATAAATAAAGACAATTTGTAAACACCTCCTATCTCTATAATTTTTAAGAAGAAATGTTATATGTAAATCCCAAAGTAAGAAAGTCATAGTCTTTGAATTTGTAAAGATTGACTATATTTAGATTTGTGAAAAATCCCCTAAATTGTCCTTATTTTTCTCAAATTTTATCATAGACCACCACAAGTCTGAGGACAGGTCTAACCTCCTATGCGTACTTGGAGAAACTCCTTCGAAAAACAACCCAGGGGCTGGCCTGGTGATGTGGTGGTTAAATTCGCGCACTCCACTTTGGCTGCCCAGGGTTTGCAGGTTCGGATCCCAGGCACAGATCTATACACTGCTCATCAAGCCATGCTGTGGCAGCATCCCACATAAATTAGAGGAAGATTGGCACAGATGTTAGCTCAGCTACAATCTTCCTCGCCAAAAAAACCAAAAACCAAAAAAACAACCCAGTACTTTAGAAAACTCTATTAGAAAGTTCTTCTTTCTATTAGCAGAGACCTGTTTTTCGCTAAATTCCACACATAATCTAATTCTTCTAAACGGCATACATTGAAAATTTCATAATGATACTCCTTGAAGCCATTCTGAACAAGTTTAATCTTCATCTATATCTTCTAAATTTGCTTTTCACGCGGATCAAAGTTTGCTGAGGGTATATATTATTTATTTGTGGGTTGCCATGGCTATTTGTGTTAAGACCAGAGCCTTATTACTGTATTACTCTTGAGAATCTTTTCACCTTTCCCCATAACACTGCTTTTCTCTTTCCTTCCCAAGCCGGGGGCAAGGAGTAGGGTGGGGAAGGAAGTGGAGTGGGAGCAGTTCTCTGAGCTAGACTCCAGATATGGGCCCATTTCTTACTACCGTCTTAAGAGTGACTCCCCCCCCCCCCCCCCCCCCCCCCCCCCCCCCCCCCCCCCCC